ATAGCAAGCTAAGCCTTTCTAAACTACCAAGATAATATTACCATTAAAAAGTAGAAACATTTTAAAATTTGAAATAATTATTATTATTAAAAATCTTTCAAACTAATTCACTGAGGGAAAAAGTACAATTTATTTTATTTCTGGCTCTATGAGAAAACAAAAGATTAATAATTTTTATATAAGAAATTTGGTATTGTTTTTAATAAAATTAACAATCAAATCTGGCTTTCTAATGTGCGATAAAACTTGGTAATTTTTTTCATGATACCTTGTAACATGGCAAAAAAGAAACTTTTGCTGTTCTGTTTTGTATTTTTCACTAAATATAGGGTAACAAGAACTATATGTTTGAAAACCAGATTTCCCGGTAAACCGTTACCATATGAAAGTATAAATTACCAAATGAATGGCCTAAGTACATCAAATTTTGGTTTTTAATACCGTAATTACGTTTTTTTTTACCAGAAATGGAATTACTATGCAGTACAGTAATTTTGCCAGAATTTTTTCTTTGAGTGTTAATACCGTAGATGAAAGTAGTGCTTTGAATTAGAATGCTTAGGCTGGCAGCATTTTAATTTTTTTGTTAACTAAAGTTTAAGCCAAAATATATAACATTTTAAAATTTCACATCATGCAGGTATTATAAATATAACAAGTAAAAGAACAAAACCGTCGCCATATTTTCGTAATTTTTAATTATTTATACTAATATTATGAATGCATATTATCCATCTATTACAAAGCAAAAAATAAGTTACACTTATTTAAATTATTATATTTTTTAATTCAATATCGTCTTACTTCGCCTCTGGACTTGATATTTATCTGGATTTGATTAAGTTATGATGTCATGTGATTTTTCAGATATGTTGCATCCAGTTCAGGCAAATTGCCGAGGATTTGAATACTCAAGTCTATCAGATTGTGAGAATCCCTATTTTCAAAATTTTGCCATGATTTCAGCATTGAAGAAAAGTTGTTTTTTTAATGATTTCTCAATAAGTGACAAAGATTTGATGCAATGAGTTTATATGATTAGAATAACACTACATTTCATTCAAAAGGAACTTAATGCACAATTTACGCAACATGTATCAGATTTGTTGAGAACAAATTAAATTCAGAACGAAAACAATGGCTGCTCAATATTGTGACAAAATTGTTCATATAGGAGCAAGTTATCACAATAGTTTCCTATGAATTTATTAGGAAATTTGCAATTAAAATAAGAAGGATATAGATATGTAAATTACGATTACATTAATGAAAGGTGTCATTCTAAGGAAACATAGTACGAAAGTTTAAAAACAGTTATCACTCATTAAAAATGTGTTATCTGTTACTTGAAAATTACAAGCTTGATCTGTATATCAAAAAAAGTTACTTTATCTGTATATCAAAAATGGATGTCTAAAAATTGAGCAAATTGTTCTAACTCCCGAAGAAATAGCATTCGAATGCTAAAATCTCATTTATTCAAAATTGAAACAAAATCTGTTCATCTTTGAGCAAAATGCCTAGTCTGAAAACGAAAGAGGGAGAAATGTGTGAGAGATATATTCGTCTACTGCCTGCAGGAGTCGATCCAATTATATCAGAGTTCGTAGTAGGATGCTCTAACCACCATATTTATACGACCTAGTCCCGGCCCAGTTAGGAAGTTTGATATAACGGCCGGACCAGTGACACGTCATGATATACTAATTTTTAATTTCAAAAGTACTAAGCGTTTCAAAATGGAAAATATGGACTTGATAGCTTATTCCGCTGAATAGTGAATTTAATTTCACCTTTTACTAATTTTGCTGTATCATTAAAAACTTTTAAGCGAATAAAATACATAAAACTTCCTAACTCTCCCTCCACAGGGTTGTACAAGCGGTTAGAGCTTCCTACTTTAAATCAGAACATCCTTGGTTCGAATCCTGCCTGAGGAATCCATTTCTTCCTCAGCATCACTTTTTTGATAACACATTTTGAGTAAAGAAGAGAATATTTTGTTTCAATTTTGAATGCACATGGGATTTTCAAATTCGAATATCTGTTCCAGAACTATTTTAACACATTTTGCCTTTTTTTGAGAAACCCTTTTTTTACAGAGAAATTTTTGGCGTTTTGGAGCAAATTGTTATAACTTTGGAGTAGCATATAATTTTTAAATTTCGTACAACGGTATTTAGTTATCGCCTTTAAATTATCATTCAGTAAAAAATGCGGCTACTAGTGTACAGAAATATGATTGTAGGATGGAAAGTTAATAAGGGAAATTTTCTCCCTCTTCCAAATTTTTTCACACATTATATAACTTTATTTCATGCTTTAAATGTTCGTTATTAGCTGTCATAAATTATCGATCGGAAGTCTAGAAGTTTTCTTAATAAATAACAAATTTCGGACGAAAATTGATTAAATAATGTGGAACTGCCATAAAGAAAAATTATACTTTCAATCCATATGTCTTTATGCTTTCATTTTAAATTTTAAATAAAGGAAATCTTTTGTTCCTTCTTATAGAATTTTCAAAATACCATCCCAGGTTGATTTCCTTTCTTATTTGTTTTTGTTTTGAGGAAGGCATATTTTAAAGTACCCTAAGAAAGGCTACTGGTGCGTGAAAATTGCGTTCGAAAACGAGGAAAGGAAACTTTCGACTAGATATTGCATCTAAATTCACGGTTGATACATCACTGACACTTTTGGATGCAAGTAAACAAAAAAATAGAATTTTTAAGCTTATTGAAAGTAAGAAGAGTATTTGTGTTCTGTACTATGCATTTTATTTACGAACACGGAGAAAGCAATTCTGGTAAAATGACCAAACTTGTAAGGTAATGCCATTTCTGACAAAACAAAAAACATAATTATGGCATTAAAACCAAAATATACTGTATTTCAACATTGCTAATTCTTTCAATCGTATGGTAACGGTTTATCAGAAATACTAGTTTTCAGAATTATAGTTCTTATTACCACACGTTTAATGAAATACGAAATTGATAAGTAAATTTAATCGAATAAATGGTTTTTATGCCATGCTCTAAAATATTATAATAATATTATCAAATTTTACAGCATTTGCTGCCAAACTGCAATTTAATATAACCATATTTTGTTGTTAATTTTGCCAAAAGTCATTAACAAAACGCTTAGGTAAAAATTACTGTGCATTTTGGTGTTCCTATAGAGCAGGAAACATGGTAAAATTTACCATATTGAGGTAGTTTTGACCATAATGTTTTCTTATTGAATAGATTATTATTGTACTTTTGAATATTATGTAGAAAAAAAATATCAGCTTATTACTTGCAATTTTGGAAAGAAAAATTGGTTTTTATTTATTTTAAGATAAAATTTGAATGCCTAAAACTACGAGGTTTAAAACTTGTTGGATATAGTTAGATCATTTGCTTTCAAGGCCATTAACACTTTGGTAAGTGAGTTGTGCTTCAAGTAAAGACAGACTGACAGTTAGTTCTCTTAATGATTAAAAATATATAAACTAAAAGAAACTTGCATTTCTACTTCAAAATTCACTAGCGAATATTTACATTTCATTGTTTTTACTATCCTTTTCGTGTTATTTACTTGCCCTTTATTTGCCATACAGTATGGGAGGCTGACATGTTATAAAATTACTTTAAATATAAAATTAATTTTATTATAAATATATAAAAAACTCCATCTTAGAAAATATTGTATAAAGTGAGATTCAGTCAATTATATTCAATATATATTTTATATTTGGCATTATGATTGAAAGAGTTTCCTTCATTGCCGTTGTTAAAAACTGTAAGAAAATTTAAACCCTCTTAAAAAAAATTTTTTTAAAATTATTTGAAGGAAATCTCAAAATATCTTAATATTTATTTCATATCTTTTCAATTCTTATTTATAAAACATAATGCAAACTTTCTTCTTCTTGTAGGAAAAACCCGTAAATTGATGCGGTTTTCTTCAAAAGAAAGTATGATTCTCTTCGATTGTGATTCGAATATAATATTACTATCAGCAAGAGGGATTTTATTCAAAATGCTGTTTTTTTTATCAAACTGCATACTGTCATGCAATTTTATTTTATTTTATAATTCGTTATTGAACAACATACCAAATTTTCGGTTCATGACTACTAATGTTCAACTCCATAGCCTTGTAATTTTGAACACAATCCAGACGAAAAGAGAACTCCAGGATCCAGTATTGGGAAAAGTTTGCCTTTGTGGACGACTTTTTGATTGAACTAACCCGAATTTGCTTTACGTGTAGAGGAAGACCATGAGTGCCTCACATGGTTAGCCTAACGGCAAGGGGACATGATCCATCTACCACTGAGGATATTTCACGTCAGCACTGTGGTCTGTGCGAGCCGTATGTGCAATTCGTATCGAACAGCCATCGCTTGGATTCGAACCCGGTTTACTTTATTGGAGGGCGAAAGCTCTATCCCCTGATCAATTGCGGCTCTACTGCCATGCAATTGAAAAAAAATTAAGTTCTTCTCGATAAATTTTGAGAATAGTGTCTTGACAACTATTTTCTGTCGATTGCTAATACAAAAAACGATAAAATAGAATTTCAGAAAATGATCGAACCGAATTTGTTTAGGAAAAAAACACTTTTAGCGTTTCGTAACCTAACAAGCGTATATGAAAATTATATAAAAATCTCAATTTTGAATTTGATTTGATTTTGCAGTTATTTTTCTATCTCACAGTGTTATGGGTGTTACATTTGAAATTTTAGTTTAACTTTTTTTCGTTATTTCATAAGTATTCCATTGAAATTCCATTGAACTCAAAACAAAATCTCACTGTTTAAAAATGTCTAAAATATATAAAATTATAATATAAATAAAGTTGCATTAATAAACTCAAATTAAGATACATTAATAAAAAAAAGTATAGATATGGATATTTACTACTTCCCTATCGACAGATTGTAGTCACATATATCACAATAGTGGCACAATGAACTAATTATTTGCAGAGAAATCAACTCACCAATGTGCTGCAAAGCTGAAGTTGCAGCAAACACACCGAGGAGGAGAAGCAAATAGCAATTCATTTCCTACTGCTATCACCAGGAACTTACAATCCTGAAATCAAGAATATATTGCTCAAGTCTCTTTAACAGTATATTGAAGTATATGTTATAAATTGACACCTAACTATGAGGCTCCAAAATTTAGATAAAAAAATTCATTTTTAGTACGTAGAAATTCAATTTACGAATTTACTATTCAAATTAATTATTTTTTATTTAAACAAATAGATTCCTATTACGATGATTCTCAGAATGGAAATATAACAGAAAATAATAAAAATACATCTTTTTATTTTTATTTACTTACAGAATTATTTAAAAAGTATATTTAAAGTAATAAATCGCCTCCATGTTTTTTTAACAATATATAAATCGAATACTTTTCTGAGTGTTCAAACAAATGTAATAAAAATTGAAACAATAGTTTTGTTAGAAATGCTTAACTCTTAAAAATACGTAACATGCATAAAAATTTTATATTTGGCTGTCAAATTACTTTTTAATTTAAAATTCTGAAACTAAATAACTTACCTTGATTAAAAAGTTTAGCTCAATTCGGAAGTCTAATGATTAGGCTTAAATGAATAATATAGGAATAGAATAGCTTATAAGATTTAAAAAAGTTCCAGCCATATAGATTTGAAAAATAATAAGCATTTAGCACTAAAAAATTTTATAAGCTGAAAACTTACCTTTAATTTTTACCCGTGGCTTTATGACTAATAAAAATGAAAAGATTACTAAAGTCGGAATGTAATTTAACGGAGAACTATTAACCACATTCTTGTTGAATCGAATTAAAAATGTTATGTTTCAATAGGAAAAAATATGTAATAGGAAAAATATGTATTATGTGTATGTATAATTAAGTATTTCAATAGGAAAAAATATGTAATATGTATTTATATTTTATACAAAAGTACATTTGAATAGATGAAACTGTAGTTTTTGGTTGGAAATTGTATAAAATAAATATTATTAAATGTGTTTTATTTGATCCTGTAACATGAAATAAAGTTTTTGAAGTACAAAAGATATTAATATTTTAAACTATAGACAATAAATACAAAATATTTAATAAGAAATTATCTCCCACAGATTTAGTTTTTAAAATAAAATATTCATTTCCATAAAATATTTCTAGTATTTGTTTGGTAATTGGGTTACTTTGGGAAGCAAACATATAAGTAGGATAAAATAACTTTGGGACTAAATGTCTGAGCAAAAGAACACACGCAGTTAAAATATTCACAACTACTTATACACTTGTATAAGTAGTTTTAAGAGGATTCTTATAAGTAGCTACAAGAATTTAGTTCGGAAAGTAAATTTTTTCTCTTCATTTTAAAGGAAAATTTTTTATGTCTGCATTGAGAAAAAAAGTACGGTCGAAACTACCAGAATATGGTAAAATGTACGGTGTTTCCGGCTCTGTGGCAACACCAAAAAACTTTGAAATTTTTACTATTACCTGCAATTATTTTCCTTTTATTAGTAATTATTAATTTCACTATTATTGGAAATTTTTGGTAATTAATTTGGTAAAATTAATAATAAAATATGGTTTCATAATATGTGATAAAATTTGGTATGTATATATTAGGACTACGCATCAGGATTACAAGATTAATGAGCACACATCCATTAGGTTAGTAATTATGTGGTAAAGTTGTGCTAGGTTAGCACTTGCGTCTGGAAAATATATATATATATCATTTTGGTAAATGAAACCAAACTATATGCTTTATGATATTTGTACTATTTATTTGGTAATTTCTCCTTTCATATTTCAATGGTTTACTAAAAATTCCGGTTTTCAAAATTAAAGTTCTTATTACCACAAGTTTAGTAAAATATAAAATTGAAAAATGAATCTAACCAAATAAATAATCTTAATGCTCAAATGCTTTATAATTGAATTATCGTAGTTTAAGAAATATGATAATTTAGCTTTAAAAGATTTATATAAATTTTAGCTAATAAAACTTGTCTAATTTAATAGAGCCTACCGAGCTTTTTAGTGCTGAGCTCTTAAAGCCAAAAACATGATACACTTTGCCCTATTTTGGTAGTTTTGATCATGCTTTTTCCTCTGTGTAAAAACACTATTTTTTACATGATGATGAAATGTTCTTTCTGAGCAATCTCCCCCCCCCCTCGGAAAAAAAAAGATTTCATGGATTTCCCCAAAGCATTTTCATGAATCTTGAGTATCTATTTTACACATTGAAGAAAATGGCACACCTTTTTCTACGAAACGTTTTATCTGTACTAAACCAGATGAAAACAACAGGAATAAGTTTTATTTCTAACTGGAAAAAAAACTTTCTTTCTCAACAGTATAATAAATATTTCTTCTATATAACATTCGCTTTATTCAATTCTTTTTTTTCAATTTTTAAAAAAAAATAATAAAGTTTTTTTTTAAATAAATGTTAGAAAACAGCATGTAAATAACGGCTGAAGTTGAAATGCACTTTACGTAAAATAGCAAAAAGCTATTACGTGGCAAGATTCCAGCTCTTTGTCTGTATGACTAGTAAGAAAGTAAGAAAGAGAGTTTCCTTTTATATCTGGATGGGTATAAGTTCTAGTGTTGATCTTTGCAAAAGCTCCATATACTTTCATGCGCAATGGAGTTTATATTACAAAATAATGTACATAATAATATAAAATAATAAAACAATCTTATATGTTGATATTAATTTATTAGTCCACCTTTTAAAATGTTTAAAATGAAAAATATGAGAATAGCTTATACTTCGCATAATTCATTGTTTATTATGAAAAAAAAATATTTATTCTGATAAATAGACTTTTCATGAAATGCTTTATTTAAAAAGTAATATTTTAAAAAAGTTTAAAAGCAAATGCAAATTTTAATAACATTTCATTAAATTAACTTTGATTGTATTCCTTTGGCTTTAGCTTCTATAATTTTTATTACAATTTAAAAAATTTTAAAATTGATATGGAAAATTTCTATTTTGCTCTATAGTTCCATACTAATGACTTATTTGTTTAATGTAAACAAATATGTATTTTTCTATTAGGTTTAAAATGGAGAATTTTTCAATTATTTTTTAATTAAATCAGGTTTAATTAAATCAGTAGAATCAATAAAATTATAGTATAAATTGATTTAGAAATCTATTGATACTTTTGATAAGTAAAACTTATTAACTTAAAAAAAAACTTAATAAATAAGCTTATTTTTGTTTAAAAAAGAAGCATAATGGAATTTAACATCCCCTTAAAATATGAGTTCATTATATTATTATATATTAGTATAATATTGATATTTATTGAATAATATATATTCAAAACATTGTGTAATGCAAAAACTTGCTTAATGACTATGCCGTTTAGAATTCTCAGGTTTCAAAAAATGTCTCTTCAAAGGAGTGAAGCAAGAAATCTTGAAACATTAAACCTATTTAGATATTCATTTCATATGTTTCTCATTTTGATCATACTTAAAATAATATCCGTTTGACCTCTCTTTGATTGATTTTGAAGTTGTTTTCAACACTTTAAACCCTTTTTTCATGTCCAACATGAATATATTGTGTTAGAAATCGTTTTATGGAAAGCAGTTTGTTAATTTAAGCTACCTAATAAATCATCAATATGGAAATTTAATCAACAAGAGAAAGTAAAAGTGAAATCATATATCACTTTCAATAGCAATATTTAAAGTTTATTATACATTATAAAAAATTTATTAACGTTTTATTATAAATTATAAATTAATTTAGGTATTTATTTAAAAATATTGATTAAAATTTAGTTAAAAGTAAAGTTCACTTTTTCTACCCTCTTCCAAAAGATTAAAAAACGATATATATTTACAGATATGACAATGAATTTCAAGAAATTGAACTATCATTTTTCTTTATATTCTGTCTTAAAGCAGGTTACGCAGCACATCGACTAACAATACTTTTTTGTAATATTAATATATCTACTTTCAAACTATGCACACTACTTACAGACGTTCCATGTAGTGGATGATGGTAATCCATGAAATATATGCTCTAAACTAACTTTACATGTGAATGTGAGATTGCGAGCAAATTCTCGATTTGAGTTTGTCAATAAATATTTCATTAATATTGATTAAAATGGACTTCCTTATTCACGAATTATTACTTAGCACACTTCTAATAATTAATCAACCCATTTCATAATTAGCATGTTTCGCTAGAAGTACAGCTGATGCAATTATCTTAGAATTCGAAAACTCGAAACACAAGTCAAATATATTCATTAAGTTAGTTATATTAGAGATATCCTACATGGCGTTTACAAGTCAGGATTAGAAACAGGTTAAATTAAGGAATCAATTATTTCATGCGTGCAAAGAAACTGTGATATTAACTCTCTGTAAGAAAACTGTCTTCTGATATCAAATTTAAAGTATTTTCTATAGTTTCAATTGATTTTATTAGTTTTAATATGTAATTTAAAGTGGTCTTTTTTTGTCATCTTGTTACTTTAATACTAGTAATATCACCCATTCGAATTTTTTCATCATGCTTTTATGTTCCTTTAAGCTTTCCTATTTTTAACATTACATAAACCATCATTAATTCAATCTACAAGTTTCGGAAATAAGAGAAAAAGTTATCGGCCCTTTCTTCACATTTTGAGAACCACGCAATCATTAATAAACTCTTCTTTTGCATGTAACATGAAGAACACTGGGGAACAAAATGTTTATAACATTCATACAAATACTAAATTTATCCTAATTCGGGTGTGAAAATTTCAAATCTGAAATTAGTTTCTCCTAAATGTGCTGATTTCTTTAAATGAAATTTTTTGTCGAAATATACAACTTTAAAAACTTTATATTAACCTTAGGAGAGTCATGTAAATGTAGCGAGAAATTCCTAGATTTAGGACACAGATTCAGGATTTAATTAGCATCAATGCCCATGCCCGGAAATGTTGTCATACGCTTTTAGAAACAGTTCATAATAGGGAAGCGTTAATAGCGGCGTATGGCGACATTTCTGGAATAGGGTTCCTACTGATTCTGATGAGGTG